GCATATCACAGAGGTTAACAACGTCCATGTGCTTGTATTTCATGATGATCAGGGGGCAGGGTACATCAATCTTTGCACTATCTTTCGCACTACAATGTTTGACAGTCCCACCATCTTCAAAACCTACAAATGGAAAACCATTTGAACTAGGCCATTATCAAGCCAACGAACTGACACAGACGTTCCAAATCTTTCTTACTTTTCAGGAACCTATCAGAACCTCCAAGTCGGTTGGAACGAATCGTGCCAATAGACTATATTCCATCTCCTTTCAAGTGCTGTACAAGCTTTAGACTTGTGAAAAGATTGTCAAAGTAGACTTTGTGTCCTGAATGCTTTGGCAAATGCTCAATAAGCCTGGTAACAACCGCCCCTACCTTGCCAAATTCCTTGTTCTCTGGCTGCTTACCTGTGTTGACTTCAAAGTCATATAAAATCCCACTCACCCCGCATCTGGCTCAAACCTTCAAGCCCCACTTGTGTGGTTTTTTGGCAAGTACTGGCGAAGGGAAGATCTGACTTTTGTAGGCATCATGTGCTCATCTATTGAATTAGCCTCTTCAGGAAAAAGGGCTCTGCATTTTGAACGCTTTAAATAATGGGGCGAACTTTATAAAGCTTGTCAACCCTAGCATCACCATGCTTTGGCATTGCAAGGTTGTCATTTACATGAAAAAAGCATTTTAGCTTTCGAACCTTGCTAAAGGCATTCTATCAGCAATCGCTGGAATCCCAGGACTCCAACACATTCTACATTGAAGATACTTGATGATGCCCATTAAATCAAGAATTCCAATAAAATGCTCCATCTCATTCTGAAAAATAGCAACACATGACATTGTTTCTTCAACAGAACAAAGGTTTGTTTGGCCAACAATGTGTGAAATAAGTTGTTTATCAAAAAATTGGTGAAAATAGCCAAGTGATTTTTCCTGAAGGAGCAGAAAATGGAGGCCCATGAAACTTTGAATTGACAACTGCTTGCGGCTTTTTTCTGAAAATTAGCTAATTAAATACATGTTGAACATCAAAATGAATAACACCTTATGAAAGATCTCATCAAAGCGATTCGAATGGTGGTATTGGTTTTTGTTTTACTTTAGGAATTAATGTTTTTATGATGTTCTTTTCATTTCAGGATCAATCCAGAAATGTCAACGCGACACTGTTTGGCCTATGTGATGCATTCGCTTCGTGTTCTACAGCTATACGCAGACATAATTAAGGCATTAATAATACTGAACAATAATGGATTGATAAATATATTGTTGTTTAATGGTATCTTGTTGTGTTAACGGTACTGTCAATCATTTAATTCCGTTGAGATTCATCTCCTTGGAAATTGATTATGTTTTTGCATTAGTTAGTGGTTTGCCTGTGAGCAGCCCTTTTTGCATAGGTTTAAAGAAGGCACATTTCCTAATAAACATCCATCGATCTATTATTGTTCCTTTCGCCATACTGTTTTTTTCTTTCATCAATAGCTCCAGATTATCAATGACTGTAACTTTAATGAATTTTAAAATTTTGAGTTGTTGCAAAATTGGTTTAATTTATTCTTAGTTTAATTTGTTTGTCACTAATCACTAAAATATATTGCCATTTCCTATGAGATATGCGGTTCTCTTTCATGTCCTTACTCTATCGTGGATTGATCATGTGATTTATCTGCTTTAAAAACTAAATTGAAAATTATTCCCGCCAAAGGAGATTTTGAACACGCTAGGTGAGTACTTTAATTTTTTGTTCTGAGCTGAGCCAGTAATCTTAGAATAAGTAAAAGTGAGATGCATTACATGTTGGAAAAAGTGCAAACAAACCTTTTAATTTTGATTATGCTGATCATGACCAGGCAAGAATTTAACTCCAGATAAATTGAAATTAAGGCAGGCTTTCTTTAATTGTTGCGAGGCAAGATTGATCTTGATTTGTTCTTAAATTACTATTAGCGTGTAAGCAGTGGTATTGCTAGCTATTGCCTTCCAGGCAGGTGCAGGTGTTCACGCCTTGTTTGCCTACAAAGATAGTGTCTATTATTCTTCGTTTGCAAACATATTTGGAAATGAATCGCCAACGTAACCCTGAACTGCAAAATCTATCGTTTTAGAGATGAAAGGGGTTGGCTCGGCCCTTTCATATTTCTTTTAATTGGTTTCTAACTTTTTACTGGTTTCAAGGCTCGTGCTCTTAGAAAATCATTCTTATGAAAAAATAGTATAACTGCCTACTATTAGGTGCCTAATTGCCGTCCCCCCATCCGCTAATTAATTATTGAAAATTTGTCCAATTGATTTTGGCACTTTGTGTTAATTATTGTAGTGAAATATGCGTAACACAGGCTAAATATTGTCGATGATAAATAATAGCTATATAATAGTGAAATAAGTGTACTTACTTATTTTAAATGCATTTTGAGTGTTCAGTATATGTAACTCATAATTTAGACCCCTCCGGTAATTGGAACCCCCCCTCAAATAATTTTTGAACATAAAATCCGTCCCCTCCCATTTATTCTTACCCCCCAGCAGTTAGGCACCAAAGAGTAGCAATGGCTACTAAATAAAAAATAGATTTTTGGCATCCTGTAAACCTTTCTGATATCTAAGTCCAATAAAACTAATCAAAAAAAATGGCCGAACCTCAAACAAATTGCAACAGAAACGAAATAATGGTTGTTTGGCTAATTAAACTATGCTCTATAACATATGAAAAGTCCTAAGAAATTCTAGAAGTGGAAAGTGTCCAAATTGCCAGCTGAATTAAGGTGGTTTAGCTAAAAAAATTTCATGGATTTTAAACGTAGAAGTCAAAGTCGAGAAGGCATATGGGTTTACAATGACTCTCATAGTATTTCCATTAAATCTACCAAGATAATTACCCACTCTTGAATAGATATTTATTCAACATCGTGCTTACTTAATTGTGATGTTTACTTTATTTGGGGAAGTCCTCTCGAACCATTTCTAAACAAATCTTGGTGAAGGAGCTGTTGCGATCGAGCATATGATCAAATTGCATGTTGACCTTGAATCTTGACCAGAGAACCTGTTTGTTGCTTGCGTTATTTCTTCTTTGTGCAGATAATAAAACGTAGTCTACAACCGGCAAAATGGTCTGCATGACAGTTACGTAAGATGGAGTGTGTTATCTGCAAAAAACCAATCTGGAACATAGCAGCAGGTGTCGTACTTTCAGCAGCAGTGAGCAACATAAAGATACGTCAGAAGCGAGAATTAGCAGAGATTTGAAAGACACAAATTCACTTCTTTCATTCTTTCAGGTAAGAGATCCATTTAGTGACGACTGCAGTCTTCGCAACATTGCGACAGGGGTAACAGCAATAGATACAGTCAATGCTGACGTTGCAAAAGAAGTTGGAAACAAGATTCTTGAAATGATGACAGGTCAATATTGCAAAGATTTTGTGTTCAAAAGAGCAAACCAGGCCATTACGCTTGATGCAAAAAAGCACCCAAAGGAAACAGATGGAGACATTCATGTAGGACCCCAGCTGTTATTTCAAAGACTTATTGCCGTTAAAAGTCATACCACTGAAGATACATCAAAACTTTTCAACTACGAGCTCTGTTCTGTTCCAGCATCTTTATTTGAAACAAATGGCTCCTTGAGAAAAGCTAACAAGCCCGTCCTGGCGAGTACCATAAGAAAAATGGTTGACACAGAGATTGAAATACCATCGCAGCCAGTAAGGTATGTTTTAGATGGGGGCTCTTTGCTGCAAGGGATATCTTGGAAGCGTGGAGCATCATAGCCTCCATTATCGATAGTTATGTGGCATATGTGAAAAGGAAGTACACAAAAGCTTTCATAGTTTTTGATGGGTATACCGCTGGTCCTTCGCCCAAGGACATGACACATCAACGAAGAGTTAGCTTGCGCCTGGAACAATGGTGAAATTCGAAGAAAATATGCTTCTTACTATAAGGAAAGAAAACCTTTCTTGCAAACAAAGAAAACAAGCAAAGGTTTATCAACATGCTTGCAGGAAAGTTGAAGGCAGAGGGCTGTGATGTCTACCATGCTGATGCTGATGCTGATCTTCTGATTGTTCAGAAAAGGATTGAGGCCTCAGTGGAAGAAGAGACGGCGGTGATTGGTGAAGACACAGATTTGCTAATTTTGCTCATTTACCACGCAAACAAAGAGTCGAAAAAAATCTACTTCTACTCTGAGTCCAAGCAGAATGCTAGAGGTACAAATGTCTGGGATATTAAACTATGTAAGGAATTGTTGGGCAAAGATATATGCAACAATATTTTGTTCCTACATGCCATTCTTGGGTGCGACACAACATCTAGCTTGTATGGCATCGGTAAAGGGTTATCGCTGAAGATATTCCAACAAAATAAACACTCACAACGACAGGCTGCAGTGTTCCAGAATGATCTTGCCAACTCCGAGGAAATAGCATCTGCTGGCGAGCATGCCCTCGTTTGCTTATATAAAGGAAAGGAAGGTGAAGGACTTGATGCCTTGCGTTACAATACCTTCTGTGATAAAGCTATTTCTGGTTAATTTTATCAGCCCACAGGTACTTCCACCCACCTCTTCTGCTGCTAAGTATCACAGTTATCGAGTTTTCACTCAAGTAATGCAATGGAAAGGAAGAGATCTCGATCCTACAGAATGGGGGTGGATCATTGAAAAAGGGAAAATGATGCCTTTGCAAACTGATCTTCCATACGCACCAGAAGAGCTCCTCAAGTTGATCAGCTGTAATTGCAAAAAGGGGTGCGCAAATCTTCGATGCAGTTACAAAAAGAATGGTCTGAAATGCACAATGTGTTGCGGAGAATGCCGCGGAGTGAGCTGCGAGAACGCCATGCAGGCAGATATGGAAGAAAATTTGGAGGACAGTTTGTGAATAATTTAGAATGACCAATATCTAATTAATTTGTTTGATAATTTTTGATTTTGCGTTTTTGATTATTTAGATAATTTGGTTTGGTTTGGTTTGGTATAGTTTGGTTGTTTTCGTATTTTGGCTTGAAATCAAAAGCGTCAATCGCATTCAAGACTCAAAATAGAGAAATAATACCCTTGTTAGTCCAAATTTCATGAGACTTTGCAAAGTGAAAATCATTTTGTAGATAGGTAAGACGAATTAAGACGAGGTAAGACGAGTGCATAATTACTGAGCGACTCTAAAAACGCCTAATTTGGTAGAAGACCATATTTTGCAGCATTCACCATATTTCAAAATTTAGCCAATGTACTACCTTAAATGGCATTTAAATTTTCCAATGTTCCACTTCAATGATTTTCTAGGACTTTTTTGCTCAAGGTATAAATACATTTTGTAATCTTTTTAGCATGTATTCATTCCTGTTGCAATTTGTTTGAGCTTACACCAAAAATTGACTGGACTACTACTGAACTTGACAATATGTACATTTTCCCCGTTTTATCTTCTTCCCCATGATAGGCAGCCAAAATGTTTTACATTACATTAAGTTACGTCTCAATAAAAGGAATGAGTATATAAATTTCTCTAAAGTTTGGTGGTGTAAATTGTCATTTATCTTTAAGAAAATGGATACAGAAAAGAGGAGCGATAGAGTTGTGGAGGTGATGGATGTATGATATCATGTTTTATTATATACTTAGACTTGACTATGAACATTTTTGTTTTTTTAATTATTCCACGGAGAGGCATGTTTCCCTTAGCAATTCTAGTGTGAATCTCACAAATTCTTAGCTTTGCTTAAATTCACTTTTTCCACCCCATTGCTTGGACACTTAACTTTGTTGCAATCAATTGATAGTATATCAAAACTGATTATTCTAAATTGATATTTGAGTTTGAATTTTGTTTAAGACGGATTAGAATTTCACATTTTAATATCGTCATTTAGCGTAATATAGAACCTACCATACCAGCAACAGATTGGCACAGTCAAGCGCCATTTTGCTTGATTTTATTTCACTTTTCTCAATTGCCTAGCATGAATAATAATAAAACAGTGATTTTAGGCATCGTTTTCTGACTTTTTGATATTTAGTCAGTTTGACAACAATAATTTGACCCAATCAACCGTTACTCTCTACGTCTCAGAAATAATTATATATTTTTAAAATATTTTTATAGTCTTTTGGTATAAATTTTCCCTTACCTTCCAGGAGCTAGAAAACGGAGAAAGTTGCGCGGAGAAAGAGATGGTATGATCGCAATCCTGTGTACTATTTTGCATGAAAAAAAATCAAATTGTTCATTTTGTTAATATCCTTCTTAGTCAGGCTAGAATGTACGTCAGTCGTAACTGGATGTACTACTTGAGTTAATTTTAGGCTGGACTTTACTTTGTTTGCAATTTCACTTCTTATCACCATATTCTTTGAACATTACGCTCTGTTGCACTCAATGAATATTGCATCAAATTTGATCATTCTAAATTGATCTTAGGGTTTAAGTTGTCTTCAAGACGATTTTGAATAGTAGATTTCAATATCTTCAGTGCTACTATATTAGCAGATTAAAAGATTTTAATTTTTTCATTTAACAGTTTTGATATTTAGTCAGTTTGACAACAATAACTGTACCCTATCAACCGTTACCCTTTGTGATGATAGGCAGCTTGAAATGGTTGACTGTTTGCGTTACAAATTTTGGAATATCTTTTAGGAAGTGGAAAAAAAACGAGGAAAGTGGAAGTTGTCGTTGGGGGCAAAAGGAAGGTATGATCTCATGACTTTGTATTATCTAACAGGAGTAAGAAACCTTTGCTCATTTTCTTATTGCCACAGGTAGTAAATATTCTTCAGCAAAAATAATATGAACTTCATAAGTGGACGTTCTGCTTGACCTGCATTTAGAGTTGAATTAAATTTTGTTAAAATTTTACTTTCTTTCACTCGACTCCTTGACTATTAGGCTTTGTTGGAATCAATCAATAATGCATCAAGATGACTATTTTAAATTGCTCTTGAGGTTGAAGCTTGTGATTTAGACTGATTAGAACTGTAAATCTTGATATATTTATTGGATATTCTATAGATGCTGCTATGCCAAAGAAAATTGTGCGCAATGAAGCGCCTGATTTGCCAATCATTCCATTTATCAAGGAAAACCCCATTCATAATGTTAAATGGGGAAAGAAAACGCCTCAATGAAATAAGGTATTTATGACAATATATAAATACTGTATTTTCATGCTTAGTGACACCTCTTCCCCCCCCCCTTCCCTACTCTCGTACAACCGCTATTTCCTCTCTCGTTAAAGCTCTGCTGAAAATGGCTCTACACACTTTTTTGATAAAAATACCTAACTGTTGTGACTTAATAGTCTCAAAAATTTTCGATTTTGAGCCTTAGATTATTTCTAAATTATTCTTGCTCGACACAAGGTCTAAATTCGCCTTAGGATCAAAGAAAAACATGAAATCTTTCTGATGTGTTGCTTCATCATGAATGTAGCAAGAACAAACAGAACAACAAAATGTGATGTTAAAATGCAAAATATAATTACACAAATACGATCCTATTCATATCCAGATAAAGGAAAAGTTTCAGTCTTGATGAAGGTTGAGCCTGGCATTATTCTTAAATTATTTTTAAATTTTTAGCAATTTCGAGCCTCAAATTCTTATAGACTTTATGAGCCTCAATATTCCTATAGACTTTATTCTTATAAAAATGTGTGTATTCTCAATAAACCAGCCTTCAGTTTCTTTTATATAGACATCGATGTTCGGAAATGCTCCCCTTCATCTATGAGCCCATTTAATAATAAGCTAAGAAAAGCGTGATAAGAGATTGAGCCCCTTGATCTGAACAGATTCCAAATTATGTCTTCATGCACACACACTTTGTTGGTGATATTATTGAGAGCGTTTCATTTTTCATCTTACAATGTTTCAATATCTTTGTTGCATCTCATAAGTGGCAGCTCAGTAATAACGTTTCTCTTCTCTCTACAGAACAGGGATGAGGATAATAATAAAATTTTTAAAGAAAAGAGAGAAGAGACAAGAAAAAAAAATTGAGAATTCCGGTGAGACACCCGGGGCCTCTTACAACTTTTCTGGCAACAGTAAACTTTTTATTTATCATTATAAGTAGGTAGTTTAGTTTGTTGTTTACTTTAAAATCATAGTTTGTTATTTTATTTATTTTAAAGATTTTTGATATTTTGTTAAGTTTAATTTGTAAATTGTATATATATATATATTTAAAGATGTTCATAGTTGTTGTGTTTGTTAATAGTTTAAATAATGAAATTTTAACATGAGTATAAAAAATTCACCACCCTTTTTATATAGTCATTAAAACTTGATGAAATAGTAAGAGAATGGAAAAAAGCTCACCCTGTCGTTTTCAGTCAAATTATAAGAAAAATATTTCTTCTTTATGTAAATGTTAGTTTTTTCATTTAATGTTCATAGTTGTACTTTATATCAGTTTAAATTTAAGGTTTACTTATGGTTATTCGAGATTTTGACAGAATGGGAAAAGCAAAATAATTACCTGGCTTTTTTCGCACAAAATGTATATTATATGCAAACAATTTATTGATTATTTGTTTATTAGTTTGATTTAATATTAATAGTTGTCCATATCAGTTTGAATTCAATGTTCATATTTAGGTGTTATCTTTGTGTTTAGGATTTTATAAAATAAATATAGATAATTTAATTTAAGATAATTTGTGCGGTTTAAAATAATTATAGAGAAATTAACAGAAAATCTTTTGTTGCTCTTTCTGTATTGACGTGTAGTTCTTTTAGGTTCTGATTGAGGTGTAGTTCTTTTTTAAGTTGATTATTAAAGGATAATGTATAGAAATAATGTATAGAAATATTTCCAGTTCAAAGCTACAAATATAATGAATTAGGAGATTGATTAGGGTTTGCAGTAAAAAAGTGGCAGGCTAAAAAGATTATTGCCGCATACTTTGTATTTTAATTTCTAAGCTTAATTGTCATAACTCACGAAAACTATAGAGTAGCTTAAGGGCCAAAGGCTCATTTTCAAGGTTTTTAGAAAGGGCATCTACTCCTGTGGCTTTTTTCGAGGTTAGGCATGGCTGCGATGTCATAGTGACATCATATTTCATTGTTTTGATGATTTTTTTAAAAATGAATAAGCAAAATCATTGTTTACACCAAATTGAAATACAAGTTAGCGCGATTTGAATGGTGGTATTGGTCTTAGGTTTATATTACAAATTGATGTTCCTACAACATTTTTAATTCCTGATAATGTGGTGTTTTTTAGAGGCCCGGCCCTCCACTTTATGGTGGATTCCCTATGGATTAATTGCCGTAAGTCAAAAATGGTGTCGAGTATTTTAGGGGCCAATGGCTCATTTTGAAGGGTTTAGCAAGTGGGATTTTTGGGGTGGTTTTTCTAGTGTTGGGTGGGGCTGAAATATCATAGTCAGGTCATATTATGGAATTTCCAAAAGTTTTGAAATAGTATTTGATTGAATACATGTTGCACATCAAAATGAATTACATCAAGTGAAAGATCTCATTGAAGCGATTCGAATCGTGGTATCGATTCTTCTGTAGCGTAAAGAGATTAATTGATTATGTTGAATTCATTTTCAAACCTTCATTGATTTTCTTCGTAAATCCCCCCGGTGGCGCGGGCCCTGCTTATCTTTTATCTTCAAAATTGTCAAACAAAGGATGATGAACTCTTCTGTTCTGGTCGATTGTTTACATAAGGATCAAATAACCCATAATCCAGACAGCATGCAGGTACTTTTCGAATTCGAATGTGAAATTCGATGCGGCCGTTGATGAAGTTTGAGTTCGTTGTGCACAGGCAGTGATTCGATTGCGAGATGGAATGGAACGGACTGGAGTTTTATGGATTGATTAATATAGCTACAGTTGTTTAATGGTATCACCAATAATTGGATTGTAAATCATTTAATTCCATTGAGATTCATCTTGTGCGAAATGGTTTCTTTTTTTCAAATTCTGGTCTCCCTGTCAGCGGCCCGCTGTTTCGGTCTTTGCTGACTCCATTTCACTTTTGAAATCGTTTTGAGGAGAAAAGAGAAGAAGTCGGAAGGTATGTTTATATCACTAATAATTTCATTGTTCTTACTATAAGAAAGCATTATTTTTATTGCTTGAATATGGAATATGAGAAGAAAATGTTCCTCTGCGCTTTTGGAAATTTATTTACTTTCTGTCGCTAGTATCCCCCAATACTATTTGTATTGCCGAATTGTAGAACATGACATTAAAAAGATTTGTCGTTTCTAAAATTATAAATTTTTGTCGGTTTTATTCATGAGATTACAGCTGCAAAATTTGCTCCTTTGTTTGCATTATTTGTGACAGCTTTTCTTTAGAACAATAATTTAGCGGCTGTTCACTTTGCACACATTGTTATGCATCATTCTAAACAAAAGATAATGTCATTGTAATGATCACAGGATAATTTTTCCTTCATTTTTACCCCAGTTTCTTAGACGTGTCTCATTGTATCTGCAGATATTTGAGTGACCTTGGCGAACACCTTTTTCAATTAAATAATTTTTAGTAAGTTGTCTGCTACACTTTTTGTAAATTTCCACTTTCACCCAACCATATTGAATTAAACTGTTGAATTAAACGTCAAGTGTATTTTGCTCTTGTTGCAGCAGTGGTTTTGTCACAATGTGCATTCTTGCTTTTAGCTAAAGGTTTTTTTCAGCAGAATTTGCCTCTTCATCTGAATCAATTGAAGAGTTGCCTACTATTTTAGCAATTGTAGTTTCTATTATTTCAAAAGGGATGATATCTTCAGCGAAATTATCTTCTCCAGGATCAGGAAGGTGGTTTATATCATCACAATTTTCTAACTCTTCAGTTTCACTCAAATCCGGATCAGGTATCAAAACAGCCTGTTCTTCAGACTCTCTGCTTACTCCAAAAGTTGAGATTCTTGACTTATCGATGTCCCAACAGAAAAAGGCATCCTGCAGGTCAAGGAGAAAAAATGAACTTTAATTTTTAATCAAGACCACTGAAGATAAATGCAGTGGTTCTTCTAAGATCCATGTGATAAATGAACAATAATCCTGAGGATACCTGTGCCTTTTGAAAAAATTTACAAATTTTATTTCTACTTTTCCAATTTCATTTTCACTTTTCGACTGTTCAATATGTCTATATAAAGCTAAATGTTCACCACCCAAACATATTGGCTCCTAAAACTACTAAAAGCTTGCGTTTTATTCGTAAATCTTGACCTTTATATTTGACGATTTCGGTATATTTTGCACCCTCTCTTCTTGATGTTGTTCTACAACAACACAACGGAAATCAGAAATAACGGGGGAAAAATACCTATAGCCATTACAAGAGGACATAAATGTCTAAATTGAATATAAAGAAACACTGGCATATTTTTCTAAGAGCCCTGAAACATATACCTGCAATGGGGACCTTGTTCAATGTGTCACTTGATGTCGCTTCAAATTGAAATCGTGTCCACCATTTTTGAAAATGCACACATTATTCAAAGTGAGGCTAGAATTGTTCCTGATGGGTGGTTGTCATAGAAATAGGCACCCCCCTATTGGTTAACAAACTAACCAGCATAAATTATCATCTCATTTTCAAATTATGCAATTTTTCTTCTGTTGTTCAGGAACAACATTGCAAAATAAAGGGTTAATTTTGGTCTAGACAAACTTTGTTTGAGCATTCAGAATCTTGTTGGTACTTGTAGGGAAATGAAAGGTGACGGACAAATCTTTCAGTTTCAATGCCATAGAAATTGCATGTACCTGTGATTGGATCCATGCAATTCATTTTTGCCAGCTGCAACTTTGTGTCAAGAGACCTACATAATGGGATATGTTTCAAAACATTTCTAATTTCGACAGACGCCATATTAATCAAGATATCTCTAAAACGAACATTACAAACTTGACAAAGCATCAGCTAGTGATCAATTGGACATGTATTTATTAACCTGAATTTTCTTGCGTCTGATGTGTACGTTCCAAGAGGACAATATTTGTGAATAATCAGAAATGCAGTTTGCATATGCAGAGTTCAAACTGAAGTATCTGTAACATTTTCTAGTTTTATTTTGCTTTTTGTTATTTGCTCCAAATTGTCAGTCTCTTTTATATCCTCAGTAATGAGGGTTGTCTCCATTACAGTTTTTTCATCAACTTCTACCTTTGTTTTTTTTTATTTTTGAAAAGCCTCTGCAGCTTGGCCATATCTTCCTCAGGATCTCCAACTTTCAAGTGGTCTCTTGCGCGATTTGTTTGTTCTGAGTGGCTGAATCTCTTCATTTGATGGTGGACTGCATGGCTTTTGTTGCCTGTTCTTTTGTACCAAGTGCTTTGGTTCAGATATGCTTAGGAAAATGCCGTTTGTTTCATCCTTCCGCATCTAACTATCCATCGTCTTCAGAATAATCTCAAGATTGTTATTACGTTCCATGAATTTGGCCTTGTTGGGACACTGGTGAATTTGATTTTTGTCAGTTAGCATGAGCGTCATCACTAGAGTTGGTACTTTCTTCCTCGATCGCTGTTGGCATTCATGTTGTTGAAAATTTCTCTTCATAAGGGCTGTCGTCTTTTTATCAACTTGCAGGATACTTTGGTCGATCTTCAAGAAAGCTTGATCAAGATATTTTTAAGGCAGGCTGCTCCAATCAATGTGTTTGCAATATCTAGAACATGTGTTTGCAAAGCAATTTGTTCTGGCACCAGTCCGAACACTCACATTGGGGAATCCCTTAAAGGAGAACTGACACGCAAAAATAACTTTGGCTTATTCGATGCAAATTTTTTTGCTGACTTCAAATCTGGAAAAAGTTTTCTTCTAAGATTCGCTGTTTTTCTGATATTTGCACTTTTATCCGTCGAATACGTCACAGCCAGGACTCGGGAATTTCCCGAAGCGGAAACAAGATTATCGCCAGGAGTTGTTAAAATTCTCGGTTGACGTCACAAGTGACATGTTAACAATGCCGTTGTAAAGGCTTTCACCGCAACGGTGAAAGTACAAATGAAGTTTCGTGTTTTATTGAAAATAATCCGCGGTGAAAAGACAAAAAATTGTCAGGCATTTCATTTATAAGTATATCGAAGCTAGAAAATCCTAGCTACATGTCTGCTAAGACGCTTATATCCACATAGAATTTATTTTTGTGCCATGATATCTTCGAACCAGCATGCTTTGAAACATTGAAAGAACCTCTAAGCTTATGAAAAAAG